TTCATTTTTTCTGAAAAGGCGGTGTCTATTTGCTTGTGACCACGCTGTGTATACACTGTTTTACATTCGAATGCCATCCTCTACAACTTATTAACATAATTTAATAAACAGCCTGTCTATAAACAATTTAATTTTTGACTAGAAATACTTCCAAATTATTGTATTTTTAAGAATATCGCTAGTATTTTTCAGCCTTGTCCATCTCCTCACACTATTACTGGTTCTTTAGCATTTGGAAATTAAAGAACCGAGACTGTATTTCTAGACACTTCTTTTTTTTATTAGCTATAAAGAATATTGTAAGATAACTTGAAAGGAATAGAATGACATAAATACACTTATTAAAACAGATAGATATATCTAATTATATCTTAGTTTGTCTTTATTTCATAGGGAATTCTTAGGTTCATGTTTTTCAGAAATTGTAAGCAAGATTGATATGTAAAACATCTTTAAATGTTAAACTTGAATAATGAGGGGTTGTGAAGATTTACTATTAAACCACTTAATGATTCTACATTAAATGAGGCACTGTATTAAATAAAATATTTATAATAACAGAGGAAACTTTTTTCCCTCACCCATGCAAATCTTAGAGACATTTTTGTTTTATAAACATTCTAACTAATGTAACTTGTTTTGTGAAGATTTATTTTAAGTATATGTTTGTGGACATTTCTTAATATTATTTATAAATGGTTTATTTCTCACCCTTATAAAATGAGATGTCACTTTTGATTTCTGTGGTGACTGAGTAATAAAACATAATCATTTTTTCATGTTTATTTTTGTGTATGGCAGAAGCCATTCTTTCACCGATTGGCACATCATCAGAAAATATTCCACAATGACAACTAACCTTCTTGATAATAAGGACAACTTTCTGTTATACCAGTTTATTATCTACATAGTTTAGGTTACATTACAAAGATGGTGTAAATCATGCTTCTGTTAACAAGCTCTTTATTTATTCTGTCAGTTCACTATCAGAAAATCATCCACAGAGACATCAAACCATCTAACCTTCTTCTTGATGATCAAGACAATATACTGGTATGTGAATGTAATATCTCCAGGTTTATTAATTTTTGAAAATACACAGACTTTGTATTTTCTCCTGTAAGATGAATTATAATATTTTATTGATTAATGGATATTTTGGATGTGTTAGAGTGATCTTTGAGTAAGACATTAATGTATTATCATATTTTAAATCACACTTATGTTTTAAAAGGATTTTAAAATAAAAAATTCACACTTCTGAATCAAATTTTCTCTTATAAAGTTTCTTATGACTTCCTTTAATAAATTTATTTTACATACTAATTTTATAGTAAAGGTAAAGGCCGGTGTATGGTAGTTTGAGTTGTTGAAAAGTGCCTTGCTAGTTACTAGCAATTGCTGATGTATTAACCATTTTGCTCAGTTGTTAGAGCACTCACTGGTTTGTGAGAAATCTTGGGTTTAATTCCTATCAGTATCAAAATTAGATTATCACAAGTATTCTTCAATTGATGGCAAAGTATTTCATTTTATATGTTCCAGAAGTGGTAAAAGATAAGGATGAGCATATTAACTGTTCTTTGGATTGACATACTGGAAAACAGATCTCATGTAACCATACAGTTCTGTCTGTAATGTATTGTTAAAAATGTGCTTGTAAAGCTAATAATAGCTCAGTACTTACATGTCATTTGTGGTGAATGCTGCCTACTTTCACTAGCAATTAGATGTCCATAGTTTACATCAAGTACATAATGTATTCTTTACAACAGGTTTTATGTTAGGTGTATCTTTTATGTTACCATACATAGATACAGTTATAGGACTGTGACCCAATGTTACAACTCTGTCAAGACGAAAGTGTTTGCAAGTTTTTCCCAAGCAACACTTAAACCATGCAACTACAAATAAAGAACTGTGATATGTGAATGAGCAAGCCTCAGTACAGTCACTGTTTTAATTTATTCTTTTTATTAATCTGCATTTGGTGGCATTTTAGTTGATCATAGTGTTGTTTAGTAAATTGGCAAACTTGTAAAGAATGTCTAGATATGGGCTCAGAATTATTTTTTAACCAGTACTAATTTAGTGTTCAATGATATTGAATGTGCAAAGATTTGAAATTACAAACAGTATGTTGTTCAGAGACTTTATTTCTTTAATTTTACATATTTTGAAAACAAAGTTCACTTTATCACGATTATTTTTCATAACTCAATTAAAGCTCTCCAGTTATTCTATGAAGTGATATTGCTGTTTTTTATGTGGGCCGTAATTGTGCAGAGCTTCTGTATTCTCACATAGATAGCAGATTTTGGGGTTTGTAACCAGTTTGAAGGAGTAGATGCTTTCCTCTCTGGAACTGCTGGTACACCAGCTTTTGTTGCACCAGAGGCTCTTCGTGGTAAGTGTAAATTTTCTTTCTTGTTTTGATCAAATTATATAGGTCTCTATACTCTTGTAAGTGTATGGTTTTGATATCGGTTATAAGTGAATTGTTTAATATCAGAGCAAACGCATTTGTCTAGGGCAGGGCTTCCTTAACTTTTTTAAGTTTTTGACCCCTTGACGAACTTAAAAAGTTGTCATCAACCCCAAAATTCTTAGAATATAAATAATAAATAAAACTTTATAGTCTAGAAACTTCAATAAATAAACAACTTTTATTCATCATAATACAATCGTTAGGAAACATAAAATATAAAAAAAAATTATATTTTAATTTTCTCTAATAAGATGGATTGGCCTGATAGGCTTTAACAAGCATATGAATATTGAGCTTTAGGTTTTTGAGTTTGAGTCTCAAGTCCCTGCATTCTTCCACATTAAGCCTGTTTCTCTGTTTGCTCAGAAGACCATTCACATGGTTAAGTCCAGCTTCGACCATGTGCAAACTTGGAAATGCCAGAATTAATGGCTCAGCAGCTGCCCAAAAGTTTGGATAATTGGCAGCAGATTTCTCACTACTCCAGTAACTGCTGATGCTTTTAGCTTTAAAAAGTGATTTTGCCTCAAGATCCATACTCATTTCAATGAGTTACTCCTGTAGGTTAGACTCCACATTTGTACTTTCTGCTTCAACGTCTAATGGAGAAATAACCAATCAGGAATCTGCTTCTTTTCAAGGTCTTAAAAGCTAACCTTAAAAATCTTTCTTCAAATTTTCAAGGTGTGTTGTATGATGAGTAAGTCATTGTCTGAAATACTACCCTTGGCTTCCTGATCTAGGCACAACTAGTTCGTGAAGTACTGGAACTTTCTGTGACCCAATTCAATCTTTGCATGGAAAGAATGATAGTAATGTCTTTTCCTTGCAATCTTCCCTGTACTTCATTGAATTTGGAAAACAAGTTAGCTATATAAAACAGATGATTTTCACACTGCCACAACTTATTACCCAGTGGTGATTCCACATTGTTCAGGAACTCTATGGCTGAATCAAAAAATCAGCTAGGCTTTGTAAGCAATCTCCTTTTGATAGCCACCTTACTTTTGTATACAAAAGCAGTTGGGTGAAAATTTCATCATTTTCACATAACATTGCAAAAAAGGCAAGAATTAATTGGGTTTGGTTTGATACACAAATTCAAAACTTTGTGAAGCTCTCTACTGAGGTTTTTTGCAACAAGATGCTGTCTGTGCAGAACACAATGCACAGTGCATACATTAGGAACTTTTTGCTACAGGAATGCTGAAAATCTGCAGCACCTGCCAATCATTGCAGGTGCACCGTCGGAAGCGAATGCCATAATGTTATTAAGTAGAATGTTATATATGTTGAAATACTCTGCCAAGTGGAAAAAGATTGTCTCACTCTTCAGATTGTCAGCTTTTAAATATTTAGCAAACAAAAACTCATCAATAACACATCTTTTGCTGGGAGTACAATACCTTATGAATACCATAAGAATATTAGAATTTCCAAAAGTTGACTTGTGCAGCTGAATGGAAAAGTTGCACTGTTGAAGCTCTGAAGTCCCTGTTTTTTTTAACATCCTCAACCATCTCGTCAATATGGCATTGGACTGTTCATTAAAATGGGTTCTGCATCCATTTTCATAACCGTTTGTACAACTTCCTTTATGGCTGGTAGAATCAGCTCCTCACCAATCATATGTGACTTTCCTTTCTTTCCAATCATGAGGGAGATATTGTAGGATGACTGCAGCCCTCTGTTGTTGTCTGTAGCAATTGGTGACTTGGTGAAAGACACTTCGTGAACCTCTTCTCTCAGCATTTAAAAAAATTCCAAATCTTTGTTTTTCTTATCAGGATGCATTCTCTCAAGGTAGATCTTCAACTTGGATGCTTTAATTGGATCATTCTGTAATGTTTAAGTTTATTTCTTTAACGTCCTTATTGGCCACAAACAATTTGCTCTATATTAATACAACAGCCACTAGTGCATATAATTATGTATATGCTGTTAAACCACTCGATGCCTGCTCCCTCTGTGACTAATCACTCAGATTTGGTTTGTATGAAGTTTCACGCAAAGTTACATGAGGGCTATCTGTTCTACCCATCCCTAATTTAGCAGTGAAAGACTACAGGGAAGGCAGCTAGTCATAATCACCCACCGCCAACTCTTGGGCTACTCTTTTACCACCAAATAGTGGGATTGAGCGTAACATTATAATGCCCCCATGGTGAAAGAGCAAGCATGTTTGGTGAGACGGGGATTCAAACCCATGACCCTCAGATTGCGAGTCAAGTGTCCTGACCACCTGGCCATGCCGGGCCTTGATCACTCTGAAGTGAGTCTGAAGTCATAAATATATATATATATATATATATACATATGTCAATAAACAATTCTAGAATAGGGTGACTATTCGTAAAATTTATTGAACTATTTATTTGTTTATGAATTTATTTATTTCAATAATTATAATAATATTATATTTTTTTTAAAAAGCATAAAATAAAACAAGTAATTAAATTAAAATATATTTTAAAAATATGTGTTATTCATTACTGTGTGAATTTATACACTGTGGAAGATTTGAAAAAGGAACGAATGTCATTTGCTCACTGTTGCTACTAGGCATAGGGCTATTAATTGCATAGGCCAACCTTGCCCTAGGAGTCATTTTCGACCCCCTAGGTCTTTATTCATTCCCTGTACAGTATTCTCCACCCCAGTGGGTTGATATAAACCACTTTGGAAAACCCTGGTTTAAGGGGTCTCTCTCCTTTTCTCGTTTACTAAACTATCAGAAATTTGACAGAAAAAGATTGAAATGTACAAGATAAAATCAATTAAGTGTTAGAATTTTAGAGAAGAAATATATAAAATTGAATTTAAAATGATATTTTTGTTATTAATCATTATATAATACTTATGGTTACAACAAATACGTTTATAAAAGTATATCATCAATTACTTGACTTGACATTTTTGGTAATGGTGGTTAGATCTTGATCAGTTTTCAAGTACAAACATTTTTCATTCAAAAAAATGAGACCTCAATTTTTAAAAAAAGGACTGTAATACAGGATTAAAACTTGATTAGATTACTACATTTCATTGAGTTAACTGAGAATCCCAAGTTATATGATGGTGACAAGTTACCTATGTGAAATATGCATTTTTGCAAAACATTTTAAAGGTCTACATTGTATCTGATGTTTAATACCATATTATATCTAATACTTTTATATCTTTATTTTTTGTGTCATATTAAGCAACTATTCAAACTGAAATAAAAAGCAATTAAAGTAATCACCTTTTATTCTTTAAAATTTTACTGTCATATTCTTTAGTTCTCAACTTCTGTGTACTGACTATATGGTTTTTAAGTTCACGTCTTTAGTGTACTGACTGTGTGTTCTTTGGTTCACATCTTCTTTTTGTTAACTGTACGTTCTTTAGTTCACATCTTCCTTGTGTTAACGGTATGTTCTTTAGTTCACATCTTCCTTGTGTTAACTGTATGTTCTTTAGTTCACATCTTCCTTGTGTTAACTGTATGTTCTTTAGTTCACATCTTCCTTGTGTTAACTGTATGGTCTATAGTTCACATCTTCCTTGTGTTAGCTGTATCTTCTTTAGTTCACATCTTCCTTGTGTTAGCTGTATCTTCTTTAGTTCACATCTTCCTTGTGTTAACTTTATCAGCATATTCTTTAGTTTACATCTTCTTTGTGTTAACTATATTCTTTATTTCATGATCTACTCATGTTTATATTCTTTAGTTCATAACATTTCTATATGAACTGAATATATCTGACTTCCATAAATGTTAAGTGATAGCATATTTCCTATATTTAAAGTTTTACTATTTGTCCTCTGCAGGTAATAAAGGTAGATACAGTGGAAAGGTAAGTTGAATTATTCTGGATGTAAAAATTACATAAGATCATATTGAATTATTACACAATACAAAGTTATGTAGGAAAAGAATTAACAAAAATAGGGTTGAAAAGGTTTTTATGCATTCGTTTTTTTAAACAGCATTTAGTGTTTTTCTTAATCAATACTTTACATATATAAATATACTTTATCACTGAGTTAGATGTTAAGGTATTTTATTTGCTAAACGTTTAATCTTTTTTGTTTTGTATTATTTTTGTAACTTCTGACTTTATCATTAAAATTAACATCTGAGCTTATTTGGTTGAGTTGTGAGTCAGTCTGTTGATCAGCAGACTCTCTCTTTAATATGGACACTGTGTTCATCATTGATCTTAGTTAGGACTTTTAAAGGAATAAATATTTCACATTCCTCTGTGGTATATTCCTTAATATTTTATGCTGGTTGGACCATCATATTTGTATGTTCGCTCATTTATGTTTCAAACCATTAAGTGGTTGGTCCAATTGAAGCCATTGAGAGGGAAAGAATTAAACTTTAGCCCTTAGTTTCAAACTCTTAGCCACTAGTAGGTCTTCTTTACTTGACCAGGAAAAATCAACAAGTGGGAAGAATATTAAACTTTCAGTCCAATTCAAGCTTTTTTTTGCATCAGGTGGGCCATTAAAAAATTTTCACTTGTTATTTGCAATAAATTTTATTTGATCAACAAGAACCACCTGTTGAGAAAGAACTAAACTATTTAGCAAAATAAAGACATTTATTATCAGGTTTGTAACTTAAAAGTTCAGCCTCTTAACTGCCAGATTTTATTTTATTAAGATTATTTTTCAAGAAAGAATATAAATGTTAAATGACAAGTTTGTAAAAGATTCTGTCAGTAAATCACTAACTGAATGTATTTCTTCACCTGGCAAGTACATTTTATGATAATTGAAGTATATATTGTAATTTATTTTTACCTGAGAGTATTAATTATAGAAACTAAGGACTTTTCCACATATATGTATTACTTGTTTCATTATGTTGTAAAGAACAACATCTTGCATATATAAAAATCATAAAATGTTTTAATAAAGCATAAATAATGAAATAACAGGATATTATTTGATGGTATGTCTGTAAAAAACAAACTGATAATAGTGTGTGTTAAATCCATAAATCAAGAAGCAACAGGATAATTTTTAACAGTATTTCTATGATCAAAGTAAATGACAACATTGTTTAATTTGTAAATAAATCATAAAATAACAAGATTTTATTTGAAAGTACATGGGTATTTTGTGATTAATCTAACTAACAATGATGTTGGTATTAAATATGGTAGATGTAATGTGGGTGACATATTATAGAATATTCTTCTTTGCTTTCACTCATAAGTTCTTAGAATTGGATAAGTAAATAAATCAAAAAGTTACATGATATTACTTGACATTATTTTTCTGATGAAACCAGCAAACAAATGAGGATTTAACACTTCTAAAATTATGTTTCTAAGCATGCATAATTCTTAATTTATTTTCTTACTTAGGCAGTTGACATTTGGGCAATGGGCATCACCCTGTACAGCTTTGTCTTTGGGAATGTCCCATTTCATGATAACAATATTCTAGTGTTGTACAACAAAATCAGAAACCAACCACTAACTTTCCCTGCCAAGTGAGTATCATGTAAAAATACAATCATATTGTTGTGAGATTGTTCTTTTGTTGGATGAGTTCCTTTAAATTATTTCATGAAAATAATTTGAAGTCTAGTCCATTTAAGGATAAAACATTAGTTTATTTCTTCTATAACATTTATATAAGCTTGTACACATTTCTGTGATGCTCAAACAGAAATACCTGAATTGGTATTTTTGGTACTTGGACTAGAGCATAAATAATCTTGTACAATTTCATGGGTAATTGATTGAAAAACTGAATATACGTGATAACTAGCACTGATCCAAATACTTCATTGAACTAAACCGACTGACTCAATACTCATTCACTATTCATTTAATGCAAAACATTGACTTGCTGCAAGTTTAAACAAAACACACAGTGACTTAATGTGTCACTGACTTTCATATTTATAATCTACTCTTGTCCCTCAATACTCTTTGAATTTACTAGATTTTTGTGACGTCAAACTTGAATATTGAAAATAGCTTACAGCAATATAGAATCCAATCATTCCTTTACCCCTATGAGTTAGTATCACATACGGAATCAACTAGTACATAACAAGCTTCTCCACTACATGCTTATCATATCTAAAATGAAATAGTACTGTTACGACAGCGGAGGTCACGTGACACTAGTAACACGCCACGCACTTCTAGAATGTTCATGAAGCGTCAGGAGACTACTAGATATGGGGTAGTCTTGTATATATAAAACTGGCCAAGAAGCGACGGGAACAATGTGTAATTGAACTGCGGACAGAGTATTGTTGAGTTGAGCACGTGAGACGTTCGTTGTGAATTATAGCGTTTGTTATAGCGTGACTGTGGAAATTAAGTGTATTGCAAAGTTGTATTCAGAAAGAATAAACCAGTTTTATTTAAGAAAGGACTTGTGTCGCTAAAGTTTCATCGGAACGAAATTTACGGAAAATTAACTAACTGGAGATGTTTAGTAAAATTTAATTTCTTTTTCTTTTCATTCCATTTAATACATTTAGTTTGCCAACTGAAGTAGATTAAAAGCTCTGGCTTATTAGGAAAGTTTAATAATTTTGAAGTTAAGACTTGGAAAAGTTTAGTTGAGCAACCTCATGAGCATGACACAAAGTTAGATTGATGGTGATGGAGAATGACAAAACTGTAATCTTATGAGCATCAGATAAAGGAAAATGTCATGTGGACCTATGGTTTGAAACTTAAGGCTTGAAATGGTCCTATGAACCTACAGATTCAAAATTTCCTTGCACATCAGTATTACTTTTTAAAAAAATATTAGGTTTCAGTTTCTGTGAGAATAACTTTTATTCAAAATTTTCGCTTACTAGTAGTATAGTTGGGTATTAGTTTTTTAATGGATGATGATCACTTTTAATAATCTTGAATGTGGTCATGCTACTGAATATATAACTGTGGTAAGTATTTTAAAAATGCTAAACAATGATTAATAATTTTGCTTAAGAATATTGACTGTATAGATACATCAACCTATCACAACTAGACCAGATGACTATTTTAAGCTCAGAACCAATTTATTTTTAGGGTTGAGTGAAAAGTGCCAAGTTATATTGTTTTGAATGATTAGGTGTGCTTTAGAACTGAAGGACGGTTAAAAATATTCTTGTAACATATGTTTGTTATTTTCAGCCCAAACATCAGTGATGAACTAAAAGATCTGCTGAAAAGGATGCTACATAAAGATCCAGTTGAGAGAATAACATTACCTGTAATTAAGGTAAAAACAGTAAAGTATCTCATAAAGATCCTGAAATCTAGACTAGTGGAATTGTAGTGTAGGTTCTGAGAAACAAGACTGTTAAATAGATTATTAATAAGACAAATAAGTATCATAGAATTTGGAACAAATTGCTTTGGGAGTAATATAATGTTGACTTACTTCTGTGAAATAAAACTGAACTTGAGTTACAAAAGTTTTAAATCAACTATTACTATCGATGCTGAGAAAAAAGGCATAACTTCAGCAAGACACAGATGTTACTCTAAATTTTAAAAAGAAAAGTAGTATTGTGCTAACTTAATTTCAGCAATACAGAACTGTTCTTTCAAACTTAACCTTAATCTGTTATTCTTTAAAGCCATAGTTGCAAAGCTACCAAAGTGATTAAACAATTAAGAACTTATCCAATGACCCCATTCTTCTGTAATTGATGCTTAACTACATAATACAAACCCCCAAAATTCTTTAAACTTCAAGAGATCATTTCAAAAAATATATCATAATGCTTCAAGTGAACAATACCTTTGTCAGTTTTGAACCAATGTATATCAACAAATAAAAAAAATATATATATATATATATATATTGCGAACTTTGGTGTTGGTCTGAGTGTTCATTTATCTCCTGCACTATATTTGAAAATCTGCACATGCAGGCAAAGCTCAACATTCACTTTTGAACTGATGGGTAAACAGGCATGAATAATGTTGATGCCAAACTTTATTTTGCAAGCAGGATATTCTACACTAAATTGTTAGGAATTAATCACATTTCAAAATGTGACGTAACTTAAAGAATAAAAATGTAGTTCTACTGTATGTTATTTTTGAGTGGCTCTTAGCATGACTGGGAGGTATAAGTAGCTCAGAGCTTGGACTCTGAGTGAAAACAAGAGTGCAACACAATTAATCTTTTTGAAGTCCATGAAATAAGTTAAATTGATAGATGAACTTAAACTTTTCCCATCACTGGGGACGGGTACTTTTGCTTATATATATATATATTATTTTTTTTTAAATTAACACAAAAATAGATAAGTACGACAGAGAAGAAGTAGTGGTAGACGAAGT